ATATATACTAAGTTCACACATAGTCACACACTACACGCAACATATATATGTTTATACCTGTATATTTTATTATGTATATATCTATATATAGTACTATATATATATTATTATTATAAATATATATAATATATATATATTAGTATATATTATTATTTATGGTATATATATATTATATATATATATCTATATGTCTATTTAGACATATATAAGACATTAAATAAGCTAAATATAATATATACCTATTTATATATATATTTATGTATTAATATATATTGTATAAGTTACTGACTACTATATATATATACTATATATATATATATATATTATCGTCGTTGTTTTTTGTAAATATCTATCTAGGCAGGCAAATGTGTCAATGAATAAAAAGAACGAATAAATAAATGAACATCTGAGCACACACAATACGACACACACACATCTTATCACACACACACACATACCAACAACTCTGATTGACAGCGACCCACCATCGCACACACATCACATATATATATAATAATATATTTATATATAGTAATATTATATATAGCTATATGTGTGTGTGGTGTGTGTGTGTGTGTGTGTGGTGTGTGTGTGTGTGTGTGTTGTTGTGTTTGTATACATTTATATCCACACCCAACAAAACACACAAATCACATATATAAATATTATGTACTGCTATATGTATATATATATACTATACTCATATCATATAACTACTATATATACTATATATATCATATATATATATATGTGTCGTGTGTGTGTGTGTGTGTGTGTGTGTGTGTGTGTGTTGTAGTGGGTGTGTGCTATGTGTGATGTGTGTGTGTGTGTGTGTGTGTGTGTGTGTGCTGTTGCTGTGTTAGATGTGCTGTGTGTGTGTGTAGTGTGTGTGTGTGTGTGTGTGTGTGATGTTGGTGGGTGTGTATGTAATTATACATATACTGTGTAGTAATACTAGCTATAATATACTATATATATATTATAACCATTACATAAGATTAGATAAATAGATAGATCTGATGCGAGTAGTAGAGATAGATAGATAGATAGCTAGTAAAGATGAATGATAATAGATAGATAGATGATACGATAGATAGATAGATAGATAGCACGGATCGATAGATAGATAATAGAATAGATAGATATAATTACATATAATGTGTATAGCAACACACCGCACATACAACCAGCACCACACAATATATATATTATAGTAATAATATTACTATATTATATATACTATCTGTAATAATATGTGTATTAATAAATTTATGTAATGATGTTATATAATATGATTATATGTATTCACGCATATTCTATACATACATGACATACATTATAATATATATACTCATTATTATAGTCTATATATATATATATTAGTATATATACTATGAACTATATATATATCATATACATCAAGCATTCACATGATAACATACATAGCGTATAGCAACACACAGCCACACACACCACACACAATAATCTATAGTATATATCTATTCACTACTACTAACTATATATATCATACGTAATATAATATATCATAAATATAATTTATATTATATTATATGCATATCATATATATAATATATTATATATTAATAATTCCTCACTAAACACCTATATAGTAAATATATATATAAAGCACTATATATGTTGTCCATGTATAGTGATGGAAGGCACACATAAATGCAACAGAACAAACAAAAAGCGAGGCATATCTCCACCGTGTGCACACCAAAGCGCGAAGATTACGGTTCAGAACAAACACATAATTGTCTCGAGCGATTGTAAAGCGGTCTTTTGGGAATGATTTGTCTACGGCGCGAGATTTACTGTAATTAATGAACGGGAACGAAGAGTGGAGTGGGAAACAGCGGGAGAAAAGTAAGAGTTCTGTTTTTTCAATTTTTCTCTTGAAAAATGAAACGTACATGCGCGTTTCCTTCCGTGTAAATATATGCAGTACGTAAAGCACACGGGATTCGTTACTAACACACGCACGGGTACATACCAGGTTCACCACACACATGACACAACACATCACACCACACACACACACACACACACACCCACACACACACACACACAACACACACACACACACATATATATATATATATATATAGTATATTATATAATATATATATATTAATATATATATATATATATTTATATACAGACACCACAAAAAAATACACAGACCATACACAACACACGCACACCTATAAATACGTCTCACACACATATACATGTACGTATCTTATACAAGAGTGTTTAATAAATGAATATCCAAATCCTCTTAACACAAAACACCCCAAGTTTTATTTGCCGGAGCCAACCATTAGGTGCGCTCCAGCCAACACCCGTTATACCAATGAACAAATTCTTTTATACTCTTAATTTTTGTACAGCTAAATGCCTTTTTTCAGAGACGATGCACTTGAACTCCTTGCGTGTCTGATGAACCGTTGAGGTATTGTGCGTAGAGTGTTTTCTTGTTTTTTTTCTTGTATCTTATTATTATCTTTTTTAGATTTTGGAATTGAATTCTTTGGATGGGGAAGCAGTTCCGAAGTGAGTGTTAAGGTGAGGGCATAAGACACACACACACGCATACATCATACATACATACATATAATATATATATTATATATATATATATATATTTATACATATACTACATATATAATATATATATATAGTTATATATAATATAGACATATCATATATATCATATACTATATATATATACATATAATACATATACATACATATATATATATATATATATAATATATATATATATATATTATATGTATATAATATATATACATCATACATATAATATATATATATATACTATATAATATATATACATATACTATACTANGCGGGCCTGCGCTAGTGCTGGTATTTGTGCGTTTTCCTGCGTGTGTAGTGTGCGTGCCTGCGTTGTGATGTGTATGTCCGTGCCTGCGTAAGTGTGCTTGTGTACATTGCGTTGCCTGGTGCTTGTGTGTGTGTGTGGTGTACATGCGTGTCCTGCGTGTGTGGTGTGTAATGCGTTGCTCTTGCGAATACGCATACGATGCTTGTGTGGGTGTGTACATGGCGTGGCCTTGCGTGTGTGGTGTGTTACATTAGGTGCCTGCGGGTCGCAATACAAAATGCTCGTCGCCGAACTCTTGTGTGTGTGTTTACATGCGTGCCTGCGTGTGTTGTCGTGTTGTACCATGCGCTGCCTGCGGTGTGTCGTGTGTGTACATGGCATCGCCTGTCCTGTGTGTGGGTGCTGTACTATTGCGCTGGCCTGCTTCGTAGAGGTGGTGTTACGTTGGCTGGCCCTGCGTGTGTGTGTGGTACGTGCGATGCCCTGCCGTTGTGTGTGTGTACATGCATTGCCTGCGTGTTGTATTGATGCACATATGAATAGCGTGTATGATGTTCTTGCCTGCATCTGGTGTGTGCTGTACAGCGGCGTTGCCTGCGTGGTGTGTGTACGCTTGGACCATGCCTGCGTGTTGTTGTGAGCTGACCGGCGTGCCTGCGTGTGGTGTGTGTGTGTGTGCACGTGGTCGCCTCGCGCATGTGTGTACGTGTGTGCCTGCATGTGTGTGTGTACATGTGTGCCTGCTTGTGTGTTTGTAAGGGCATGCCTGCGTGTGTGTGTGTACCGGCGTGCCTGCGTGTGTGTGTGTACCGGCGTGCTGTGTGTGTGTGTGTGTGTGTGTGTGTGCACGTGCGTGTGTGCACGTGCGTGCCTGCGCGCATGTGTGTGTACGTGCGTGCCTGCATGCGTGTGTGTGTGTGTGTGTGTGTGTGTGTGTGTGTGTGTGTGTGTGTGTGTGTGTGTGTGTGTGTGTGTGTGTGTGCACGTGCATGTGTGTGCACGTGCGTGCCTGCACGCTGGTGTGTGTGTGTGTGTGTGTGTGTGTGTGTGTGTGTGTGTTGTGTGTGTGTGTGTGTGTGTGTGTGTGTGTGTGTGTGTGTGTGTGTGTGTGTGTTGTGTGTGCGTGTGCGTGTGTGTGTGTGTGTGTACGTGCGTGCCTGCGTGTGTGTATATGTGCGTGCCTGTGTGTGTGTGTATGTGCGTGCCTGCCTGCCTGTGTGTGTGTGTGTGTGTGTGTGTGTGTGTGTGTGTGTGTGTGTGTGTGTGTGTGTGTGTGTGTGTGTGTGTGTGTGTGTGTGTGTGTGTGTATGCGTGCCTGCCTGTGTGTGTGTTACATGCGTGCCTGCCTGTGTGTGTGTGTGTACATGCGTGCCTGCCTGTGTGTGTGTGTGTACATGCATGCCTGCCTGTGTGTGTGTGTGTACATGCGTGCCTGCCTGTGTGTGTGTGTGTGTACATGCGTGCCTGCTGTGTGTGTGTGTGTGTGTACATGCGTGCCTGCATGTGTGTGTGTGTGCATGCGTGCCTGCGTGTGTGTGTGTGTACATGCGTGCCTGCATGTGTGTGTGTGTGTGTACATGCGTGCCTGCGTGTGTGTGTGTGTACGTGCGTGCCTGCGTGTGTATGTGTGTGTGTGTACGTGCGTGCCTGCGTGTGTATGTGTGTGTGTGTGCATGTGCGTGCCTGCGTGTGTGAGAATATACTACAATATACGTCAATAAAGACCTTTACAGTACATATATCCCAAAGATAAGCCTCCAAGCATGAATATAAAATAAAAATGGTTGTAACCATTTTCCCAAAATCCCAAATTTAAGTGCACTGAAACTCCCCGAGGCAAGTGGGCCAGGCCACAGCAAACTTCCCAGCAGGAAATAAGGTTTGCTGTTTGTGTTGACAAGGAGTGCTAGACAGTGAATTCTTGCCATAAAGCCAAAGGGCTAAATAGGCGATGGCACAGTTCTTACCATTTCAGTTTTTGGTCAGTGAAACCACTAGAAATATTGCTAGGCATTCTTTTTTATACCTAATTTCATTCTAAATTTCTTAAACAATGACTTACAAAGACCGATATTGTCCTTTGAAAATAAATGTGTGGTGAAAACATTCGAAAAATGGATTAAGGCTGCAGTCTTGAAATGTTGTCATACATACCTGTGACTGTAATACTTCCCGTGGAGAATATCTTGAGTGTGGCCTTAGGATAGTCGATCTTATAAGTAACACCAGGATGAAGCTCTGGCTCATAACTGTTGAAAAAACAACTCGCTCAATTTCTTTGACTACGCAACAGAATATATCTCAACAGATAAAAACATGAATATTCAATATACATTCTAATTATCACCATATTTGTCAATAATCAGTAAAAACTAATTCAAAAACATCTATATAAAATTACACAGAAAATCTACCAAGATTAATCACCTATAGTTAAAATGTTATTCTTAGCAAAATTAGCAACAGTTTATATAACCAATTTTATCAAATAACTATTCATAAAATATCTAAGTAATTGTAAAAGACAAAATAAAACTGAACTCAAATCAAAACATACCTTGCTGCTTCTCTAAATTTTTGTGAAAACTGAGTGATCTTTATACTAAAGGGCATTGTACACGTTCCAAGGACATTGACAATGCGGAAATTACGGAACTTTGCTGGGTAGTTCAATTTCTGTATACGTCGAGCAATTCTCCTGGCAGCGACTCTGGCTTGTAATTCTGATGTCGATCCTGGGGGATAATCATGCCATTAGACACTTAGTCTAAAGGATAATTATTACCAAGACATGAAACACTTAATTTTTCATTTTCGTGTGATATGCTAACTATTCAAAAACAAACCACTTCCAAAATGAACACAACCCTTTACCAAATAATTTTCAGGAACATATATCTTCTACTGAAATTTAAAAATACATAAAAAATAAAGCAACTGAAACTCAACAGTGTTGGTGAGGATTTTTAACCACCAGACCCCTTTACAAAGACCGTGCACAAGACTGATTTTCAAAACTCTATTAAGTTTTTATTATACAGCATGTTTCCTTGTATACTATCACATTAACCCATTGGCGCCGGGTGCCACGTACGTACATGCCATGGCTGTTGTGGACCAAACGCCGGGGGCATCATGCCATGCCCATTCCCGCGCTACTGGCTCGTCAGACGGAGGTTGTTTTTCTCCAGTAGTAGCGGCTTCATTTGTATGGTAAAGGTTTTAGGCAATGGCACCTAAAGTGAAGGTAAACCTTCAAAATTTTAATATCTTTATAAATTTTAGCAAAATAAAAGCTTTTAGGTGCTATATGTCGTTCGCAAACAACCGATCGAGCCGGGCGCAAACAGGGGAAACTGCCAGTGCGCGCCAACAAGCCGGTGCATATGTAAACTTGACAAAATTTTTACCCGTCGCTGATGGGTTAAGTATAAAATAACCAAAACATCACTTTGTTTTTTCATTAAAAAATTCCACCTCTAACATGCCCTTCATATTGAAATGCTCTTTACAGCTGAAACAACCAATTTCAAAGCAAAACAAATTTAAAGACTGAATGGTACTGACCATTAGGCCATAGCAATTTTTTTTTTTATGAATAGCAGACCCACCGACATTTATTTCCAGGTAAATTGGGGGGGAGGGGGAGTGAACCTCCTGATTTTTTTCTTTCAAATGTCCCGGTGATATTGATTCATTGTGTATGGTATCATTTCTCACATCCCCAAACAAAAATAAAATATTTGGCGGAAATACCTTACTCTCAAGCGTCATGTCATATCTATTGTCTATCATGTCCATGGTTGGTGGTCGCTTCTGATCAGTAATGGAGTATTTAGCAATATGCACAGAGAACCTGCGCACTAGGATGTAAACACTCAAATTCAAACATTAAAACAAAAATAGCCATGGTCATTTTTTTTTTTTTCCCCACCTCTAGCCAACATTTCATTATCACCACACTTGCTCGCTATTCGAGAAATTAATTGCAATGGCCTTAGAGCAAAGCCAAGCCATAATATCATCACTATCTATACTTTTATTTTCAAACATTAATACTTCATACTCAATACACATAAAGACTCCTTTATAAGATATAAAATATCACCAGGGAATCTTGACGGAGATCATATTTCATGTGTAAATATGCACCAAAGTTTTATAAAGAAAAATCTCACTAAATATTTCATCATATGGTAAAAAACCCACAATGCACAAACTAGATTTATCTAGTTTGTGCATTGTGGGTTTATCTACCATAGTATCAACACGGTAGTGTGTTTTTCTATTCATTTCATCATATATCATTGTGATTTTATTTTTTTGCTACTGGTATAAAAGTGCTCTTTGAACATTCACAAAATCTATGAAAAAGGTCAACATAAAATGCCATAACCAGGTTTACAACAAGCAAAAGTCCATATAGGTATACCTGGCTCTAATTACTTGAGTGCTTACTTTACCTCTTGACATTTATGTATTTGCTCATCCCAAGAAATAACCTATGTTGGGCTCTAACAGTCACTTGGTAGCTTCCTCATTCATGTACATACATCATGGGCTAGCTAACTCCAAATACCCTCTACCCTCTACCCCCACCCCACCCCTGCAGAGACAGTCCCCTCAATTAACTAAAAGGGTAATCACACACCAGTCTAAAAACATTTTGTTATCCCAAAATAACCAACATGACAAAGTGGATAAAGGCACTATAAATTTAGAAATCAAGACTGTCACAACTGTGAGATCGCCTTGGTCAGCCAACATAAGCTTCCTGAGCCTGTGTCTGACCGCTACACTGAGGGTGTGAGTTTGGGCACTGAGGACCTTCGGCAGTGTTTACCCGAACCAGTGAGGCGGGCTTAGAAGGTTAAGATCACCCATGATTGGTCACTTCATCTTGTGTCGTGCCTTTACACCAACGATTCCAAATAAAAGGCACAACACTCAAAAATTTGTAAAGTTCTCCCGTGACTCATCAGTGTCTACCTTTTGCTGCCCTGTGACCTCGCCTGCTCCTCTGGATTCTCTGCCTGTATTTCTCCTGCCTTTTGTGTGTCGTATGTAGTGTAAATGGTGCCTTTTCAATATATTCCTCCCGCATGTTTCCTCTGGTGTTTCTCTGCTGACCTGGCCGATCTGATCCCCTCAAAACCAACCTGACAAAGACTAATTATGCCATTTGGCTTCTCGTAAGAATTCAATTCAGTGCGTGGAATACCCCAATGATAATATCTGAAGACGTGCTACGAAGTAGCTGCTGGTAATTTCTTTACAAAATTTTATTTGCGATCTGTTTGAACACAATGTTCTTGGAGGACTGTTGTAGTTAAATGGTATATGCAGGTATATACACTATATCCACAAATATATTTACATTAACCTTATATATCATTAGTGTTATCCCATCAATCTCTCCGTAATAAAACATCTGTATGACTCTTACCTGTACAGGTGATTTTTCCTGATGACCAAATAGAGGCAGTAGTTAAAGGCTTTCGTAATTTCATGGTTACCATCTGTGGAAAATAATGTCTCATTAATACTCATTAAAAATATATATGAATCTCTAAAGCTGTATGCTACATAAATATCAATCAAATTAAACCTGGGAAATTACCAACAATGAACAAGATACACTTAGAAAGCTATTGTGTAATCCAGACCAGTTCAGCTGTCTGCTCTTCCTTGTTATCTGATCATTTATGTCATCTTGTAGATATTAAGTTTCAAAAAGTACTGCACTAAGATCCCAAATAATACTGCAGTAAAAAATACATGGAGACTATTACAACAATCACCATTCTTAGCCCACTAACGCCGGTAAATTTTGAAGCCGAAAATAATAGTTTCCGGGCCGCTTCAAAATTGGCGCGCAGGGCTGGCCCGAAATCTGACTGCACGCCAGCCACGGCCAGATTATGGGAACATGCTGCCATTGAAAAATTTGGCCAAGGGCTGGGGTGACATGAATGTAACATAATGAGAAGTTCTGCGTAAGCCCAGGGTGATGGGAATGACTCATCCCGAGTCCACAAAGCTTTTGGCGGAAAATCTGACTCAGTGTGCATTTATTGCATGATTTTATTTCCACCAGTAAAGGAAGATGGAATGTGCAATCTGTGAGCCATAAATGGAAGAATGCTTCAGGGTGGACATTACTTCCCTGTTCAGAATCTTATTTCTTTCCATCATAAGTGGCAGTGCCGGGCATTTTACAGAAAATTAAATAAAAAGATTTAAAAACTGCACAAATAAGAAAATATCATTTATTGATGTCAATATTGCAAAAAAGTAGATTACATAGAGAGATGACATGAAGGAAGGAGAGAGGCAAGGAGCTTGGACTCGTATGGACTGGGCCCACAAGCTACACTCCTGAGAGTCCCTAATCAAGTAAACCTAATGACCAGACTTTGGGTATTATACCGACATGAAATACATGATCCCATAAACACACTGACCCAAATCCAAATGAAAAATACCCTAACTGCTGGGTGGGAGCTATAGCAACAAGTGCCTGCTACTGGGGTCCCACAAGTGTGGGGCCATAACAATATCAATAACATTAACCCATTGTCACCGGGTGGCATGTAGGTACATGCCATGGCTGTTGTGGACCGAAAGACGGGTGGCTTCGTGTCAAGCCCATTCCCACGCCACTGGCTCGTAGGGCGGAGTTTGTTTTTCTCCGATAGTTGCGGCTTCAATTTATATGGTAAAGATTTTAGGCAATGGCACCTATAATGAAGGTAAACCTTCAAAATTTTAATATTTTCATAAATCATAGCAAAATAAAAGCTTTTTAGGTGCTAAATGTTGCTCGCAAACTACCAATCTAGCCGGGCGCAAACAGGGGAAACTGCCGATGCGCACCAACAACCCTGTCCATACGTCCACTTGCCAAACTTTTTACACGTCGGCACTGGGTTAACAACCTAAAAATAAATAGTATCAAACAAAATAATAAAAAATTACTTCAAGGACTGGGGTAAACAGGTTAGGTCACACTAACACCTAAAGAGTCTTCTAACGTGAATAAAATGAACAAAAGATGATGTCAGTGGACAGTGAATGAACCAGTGGGTTAAGAGAGAGAAAAAA